ATGTCGTTGATGTAGGACAGATATAGAGTGGGGGATAGACAGGAGCCTTGAGGAACTCCTGCGAGGATATTTCTGGAGGATGAGAATGAATCTTCGATTTTGGCAGTGAAAGTGCGATCAGTAAGAAAGGATTTGATTATTTTAACGATTTCAGTCGGAATTTTGATTTGAGAGAGCTTGTAAAGTAGACCTTGGTGCCAGACTCGATCAAAAACTTTCTCAACATCAAGGAAGATGGCTGCGGTGTTTAGGTTGTTGTTACAGTTCTGACTGAGTTGATAGGTAAGTTTGGTTAGTTGTAGAGTAGTTGAGTGTTCAGGTCTGAAGGCAAATTGTTCTGGGCGGATATTGTCACGGAGATTGTTTTGGAGGTGGGCGAGGATGAGACGTTGGTAGATTTTAGATAATGAGGATAGCAGCGCAATAGGTCGGTCATTTTCGGGAAGTTTGTGGTCTTTGCCTGATTTGGGAATGGAAATGATAACTGCTTTTTTCCAGGCAAGCGGAAAGTAGCAGATTCTGAAAGAGCTATTGATGATTTTCGTCAGGAATAATAACATTTTGTTCGGTAGGAATTTAAGAGCCATGTTGATGATGAGATCGTCACCAGGGGCTTTCATTTTGCGAAGATTGCTGATGAGATTTTGTATGGTGCCTGGGGTAGTGAATAGGTTAGAGTTAGTTATGTCAAGGTTTTGTACAGAGTGGTAGTAATGTGTTACTTCTGGTAAGTCGGGGCCAGGGCCGTCACGAACTAAGATTCATGGGGTGGTGTATACCTATCAATTTGCCGACTCAAACATTTTTTTATCGCTTCGCTCGATTGAAAGTCAATACATTATTATCAATTTATATTATCATTTTTTTCTTATCATATCATACTTCATGTTTTTGAATTTTATTTATAAATATATAATAAATAACCAGATATAAGATTTTATTATGAAACAAGGTATGTATATTATATTCATAATGGGTAGGTATTCAAATACTAATATTTTAACACATATTAAATATTATAATATGTAAATTAAAATGTTAAAATAATTAAAATTAACCTTGTAAAAAAAAATCATAATAATATAAAACTATATTAAAATAACAATTAATTTAAAAAAAATTAACWGTTAAATTTGTATTCTACGCTCTTTTAAATTTGACCATTGTTGTGCTAATTTGTTAATATTCAATTGGTCTACAATATCTTTTTYTATTCCTAATATTACTAAGGAATTTAACCGGTCATCACAGTAATATTATAATAAAATAATTTGCAATTTAAATGTCGTCGTTGTCATGACTCATCATTCATTGTTGATCTAAGAAATGTCTTCACTAATTTTAATTTACTAAATGTCCTTTCATTTGAGGCAACAGTCACTAGATAAGTTAACGCCAAACGACATAATAAATTAGCACATGGTAAAATATGTTTGACTTCCTCAGACTTTTCCATTAAGGATTCAAAATTTTTTGAATCATCTKGTAACATGTTAAATAATATCTCTAGTTGAGTTTGGACTARATCTAGATCTTTTAGATTAGAGCCTGTATAAGTACTATCTACTGGAAATAAAAAGAGGGAATTTGTAATATTTTATTGTATATCAAATAATATATGAAAAACGTTACTTTAGTTTTTTTTTTTTTTGTGCATAATGTTCAATGTATTTTAATGTCTTACCTCACCTAATACAGATTCTGTTATTCCTTCACGTTTAGCTTCAGTTTGGATACGCTACATATTGTTTGAGTTGAACTTGACTAAATTAAAAATTGTACATATTATATAGTAGGTAGTAGGTACTTATAGTGAAATCAGAATAAAAACATTTCTATATTTTAAAATTTATTTAGCACTATATCTGTATGTCTGTATATTAAATGTTATATGAAAATTCTATTTTTTACCATACATAATGTATCAAGAACTAATATAATAAATGTGAAATTTAAAATTGGATTCAATTACGGTGTATAACAATTAAAAAATATAAAAGCTTACCGGAATCATATTATGCAGTTTTATCTGTTTGGATAAAAGTTKTGAAGTTTTGRCCGCWCTTTYGAACGGGTTTTTAGGAGCGCCAACATGTTTCACATTTATCCGTTTACCATTATGTAACTTCTCTTCGTGCTTTTTCTTAAAATCATCGTCAAATGTATTTCCACATTCTAAGCACTCGACTTTAACACGTTTTCTCTTACRTTTAACATTAATTGTGGCACTCATTATTATAAAAGTAAAAATATAAAATTATTGAGACTGAAAAACTTTTGCAAAATGTTAAGCTTAGTTTAGAAAATAACAGCTTATTATTAACTGTTTAGTCTATCATGTACACTATGTAGTGATATTGTATAGCCATATGGGTGACAATACAGAGTACAGACAGTTGATTTGACGATTTTTACTTTGTACATCAGATCTATTTTTAACATATTGACATATTGTTATCGAGAATCGAGCATATTCGGATGGAACGACAATATTTCATTGTCATTTTATTATTATTTTACTTATCACTTATCAGTTATCACTRTTAATAGTTATTATTAATTATGATATTCTTATTGAATTATAAATAAAGTAGTTATATAAATTTCATAGGAAAATATTTGAACTCATAATTTGACTGTGCAATATAAAATATTTTTTCAAATACTTGAAATATTATTATAATATTATAATTATTGAATATTGTTAAAATTGCCGACTCAACAGATCGTTGAACTATGTGCCGACTGGGCCCCACTAGATGAGTCGTGGGGGGTGCCCCCCCCCCTCGGGACGGCCCTGGTCGGGGCCTGGGTTAGTTTGGAATTGGCTTTCGAGAGAATCGGCTACCATATGTCTACCGACATTTGTATTTTAAATCTTGGTTTTTTGTGTTTTGATATCTTGAATAATGACTTTTACGTGTCCGGACTATTTTTGTATTAATTTTCTTCGTGTTGTTAACTTGCGATACAAATTAAGTGTTTTTATGTAAATTAATTTTGGTTGGAATAAAAAAAATAAATAACTGATTAMAAACTGGTTTGCAATGACGGCGGCGGGGTGCGCGCCATCTATATTATGTTTATTTTACGTGTGAGTGGCCGTCGGTGCGTTTGCGATAATTGTTCGCTAATATACGGTACAAGAGGGCGGCACTAGTGTAGTGCGCGATCTTGTCCCGTTACAACTTACATAGCAATAAGATAGATCGTTGGAGCTACATATAGTTTTACCTAAACACATAAATATCATGACCATTACTTTACAGGCAACAAACAGATGCATATGCACGATACCATATAGTACACATTAGTTTTCCATTTAGTACATTATAGGTAGTTAATCAGTCCTTTGTTCGTTCATGGCACACACACACACAAATTCTCACATAGTTACAAGTACMTACACATATTCCATTCTATCTATACCACCCTTTCTCACGCCTTTACCTCATTAACCGTCTGTACGACTACACACCTGTAGAGAGATGTCAGAATATTGTTGGTCATTACTAGCAAGAAATTAGTGCATTAAGCAAAAAGAAATGGTATCACTCTGTTAACTACCGTTTAAGTGTCAAGTCGTGTTTATTCAGAGTTCTTAAATGTTTTTAAAGTGTATACAAATATTTTTACAAATAATATTATAAAAATCAAATTATTTATTTTACTTTAATGAACACTGTACTTCATTTTTCCATAGCTAGTTCTGTAACACGCGTTAATGATTCGCTAATATAAAACTATTTCACATGTCAAGTCACACGATGTATCTAATACGATTTCATGCAGTTTATGCTCAGAAATATCCACACCAAGAGATAACCTCATAAGACATAACAAAGAAAAACATAGTAAGTAATTTTTAATTACATACGGATTTATAAGATAAACTATTATATATATATATATATATACACCTAATCAAGTATACATATATCATTATGATATTAAAATATATTATGTGATATCTAAAGGTAATATATTATAAATATATAATAAAGGTGTTTAAAAAAAAGTGTAATTTATTCAATGAATAATTTTTTTGAAGTATCTAATTTATAATGATACTATTTTCAGGTTCAAGTATTGTAATACAACAACAACCAACCATAACCAAACGAGAAATTCAAGATTGTTTTAAACCAGTTGAACACATTTACGATTATAATGGTAGATAATATCTTATTCATACGTTTATTCACCTCCTATGATATAACAATAATATAAATATACATTATGAATACCCCTCATATATACATATTTACTAGTACCTACTATTATTTCATGGTATACAAAAGTATGTATATATGTAAATAAGGAGCTGGCGGCGAGTTTCTATGACGCTGGCATACAAAAACTTCCAATGCGCCTTGAAAAATGCATCCAAGTAAATGGCGATTATGTGAAAAAATAATTCATAAGTACTGTACATATAACCATGTAAATAATATTTTGGATAAAGCTTATTTCAATTATTATAATTATGGAGACCTTACTTTTGGGACACGCTTCGTATAATGTTTATCGATACAATAGTAAATTATTTATTTTATTTCAGTTCCTTCGGCTTCAAATCGCAATGGTCTTAAGCGTGTACACGCGGAAAATTCGAACGAAGCAGTAAATGCAAAAAAAAAAACACGCATGACCATCGTTAAAACCCCCGGTTTTGTTAAGACTGGTTCATCGCTCTCTAATAAAATCGGTAATACCTGGTGACGAGCCAAAATCCCGAAGAAAATCCCGTATTTCTGCCGAAATACCAGATCCAGAAACAGATCCTGAGCTGCATTCTGTTGTGACCACGAACATGATACATGGCCCTTGCGGAACTCAGAATCATGGGTAACCGTGCATGCAAAACGGAAACTTCATTAAGCGTTTTTCGCGTCCGTTTGTGGCTTACACAATCAGTGGAATCGACGGATATCCATTGTATCGGTGTCGTTCTCCAGATGACAACGGCAGATCAATCATAATGAAAGTCAAGGGAAAAGATGTCGTCGTCGATAATCGCTGGATCGTTCCATATCGTTCCATATTGTCCACTTAAGTCGAAAACGTTCTCAAATCACTGCAATGTTGAGTATTGCAACTCCATAAAATCTATCAAATATGTTTGCAAATATGTGAACAAAGGGAGTGTCATGGCTGTGTTTGGCATTGCTGATCCAAATGCAAACGATGAGGTGATGAAATTTCAACTTGGACGTTACGTGAGTTGTAATGAGGCAATTTGGCGGCTGTTTTCATTTACAATTCATGAATGTCATCCGACTTCCGTTCATTTGGCAGTTCACTTAGAGAACGGCCAGTGTGTATACTTTACGGAAGCGAACGCAGCGCAAAGAGCAGAACGACCACCAGCGACGACATTGACAAATTTTTTTTCGACATGCGAAAGCGATCCGTTCGCGAGGACTTTACTATATTCGGAAATTCCACGTTATTATACATGGAATGCTACATCAAAGAAGTTTCAACGCAGGAAGAAAGGTGATGCTGTTGCTGGCTTCGCTTCTATTCGACTGATTCCCTCGGACGAATATACACAGTTAATCCACGCCAAGACGAATGCTTCTATCTTCGCTTACTTTTGGTGAACGTTAGGGGCCCGAAATCCTTCAATTCCCTGCGTACTGTCGATGGTGTACTGTGCACAACTTTTCGGGAAGCTTGCCAATGCTTGAATTTGCTCGAAAACGATTCACACTGGGACTTACCACTCGCCGATCCAACAGTTTCTGCGCCAGCAAATCAAATTCGTACATTGTTTGCGATCATCATAGCCACATGTCATCCATTGAACCCGTATGCATTGTGGGAGAAATACAAGGACGAGATGGTTGATGACATTTTGCACAGAGTTCGAACGACAAATTTTAACGAAGCATTATTCTGATCGAAGACATGTGCGTGCTCATGTGCGGCAGTCTGTTGTCAACTTTGGRAATKCCAGCGCCWAATCGTTCGAGGCACGCTGCATTCAATCTTGAATTACAGCGGGAGAAAAACTATGATCTAGATGAGCAGGCTGAAAGAGTCCGAAAAAATGTGCCGCTGTT